TCTTGACTACACAAATCGGGCCTGAGGAAATGGCCGTTTTGATATTACACGGAGTGTGTCTGTAATGAGTACCGAGACACAGCCTTCAAGGAGCTGGAGTAATAAGACAAGATTGATTGAATTGGCCGAGTGCGATCTCGCGCTGGCAGTGTAAACTTAGCAAGTATTTTTTAAATAAATATGCCTACACAATCATTGACATTTGGCAGCAGCCTAGAATATTTTTGATATTAATGCAAATCCCTAAAAATCTTCAAATAGGGAAAGCATTGAGCGAGTTCCCTTCCTGTTGAGAGGGTTTTAATGTGTGATGGCTTTTACGGCTAACGGTTCATATCTTTCCGATGAGATCACCAGAAATTTTTCACGGTTGATTTGTTTTGATTGGCAGTTAAAATTTGTTAATTTTACGCCTATCGGTTAAATTTTTCAGGCCTTTCTACGGCGGTTAACCCCATTGTGACGCTCTTCTGATGAAGGAGTTTCCCTAAAAACACCCTCTGGAAAATTTTGGAGCTCAATGTTTTTTTTTTTTTTAGTTTCCTTTCACCATTGACTTAATATGGCAAGATTGGCAATGCCTGTTCAAAGTTCTGAGTATTGTGAAGAAGTTAACGGTCGGATTTACACAAGGATCTTGACCCTTTCTAACCCGCGACCTCAATATAATCTCGAGAGTCAAAGGGTCAATTACCGGAGAAAACTTAGAAAGTTTCAAGTATGCTGATACATTAAAGGAATCAAGCCGCCATGTCTTTATTAGCCCTTTCACTACCAAGATCTCATTGGCAAATCTCCTTTCAGTCTGCTTTGCAATTCTTATGATGTTACTTTGGAGAAGTTAGTATTGCATTCACTAATAATCTCCTAATTGATACTTTTCTATATTCTCATTACTTGTCTGCTTGATATATGTATTGATATTGTAAGGAGAAATTCTGTCATGGTCACTCAAAGGAGTTAAAGGATCAGTCGGCTTGAGACCTTCCAAAACTGCCCTCGGCTTTAAGAAGACAACAAAAATATAACCTCTGTGATAGAAGAAAACTAAATAGAGGCGTATATAAACAGTGACGGAGATAGGATGGCCAGGAATGGGAAAGATCAAGTGGTTACAAATCACCAAATTTTCGACTTCACTTCTACAAATGCTGAAAACGATTTATACAGCTTCATCCAAAAACTAGAGTCTCAAGTGAAAAAAAGCCGTATTTCCAAAACGTAACGAGAGCTTTTTAGTCCGATGATTTATAGATCGAATGAATAAAGGCAGGAGACCATTAATGGGCTCCTGATAAAGGGGTACGTTTCTAAAGAAAATGTGGTGCTGTATCGGTGACGCGTTTCCAGCGTTAGTACTTCGAGCGTTGTGAGGAGGTCAACTGTCAACTTCGTCGCTCTGACGAAGGGTTAAAGCTCCTTAGAAACTTTTTGCGGTGCGCGGGCCAATTTACTTTATCAACTCAGTCGATATAACAAAATTTCCATTATTATATTCAGAGATCACCCTGATTTGTTAAACGAAATACATAACTAACGTCTATTTGTAAGAATGGCTCAAAAAATTGAATTTCATCTTCCTTCAAACGTAACCAGGAATAAAACCTGCGCCATTTCTTCCATTAATGTCTCGATGATGTACACAGGAATCTGTCTTGTTAATTAAATCACCGAAAGCGTTTGTTTTCAGCCAAGGAACCACAGTTAACTTATGACGTCAATGACACTTAAAAATGCACTACTCGAGCTGGGGCGGAATGGACCTTGATAAAAATGATTTTGAGCTTCGCTGGTATTAAACGGAGGGTAAGTACATTTTATCCTGGTTTTTCAGTAATGCTTGCTCAAAAGTTGAACTCGACAAGCGGAGCCAAAGTTGAGAGTAATTAAGATTTTTATCGGTTGACAGCTTTGAACTTCCTGAACAACTTGGTTGTGGGCGACTTCTGAAAATGAGTTGATCACATTTATTATTGACCACTTAAGACGCCGGAAATAGTGAAAACACAACTCTGGCTGTTCCGAAAGCCACCTTGTCATTTTTCCGTTCTCTGTGCCACGCTTCTTTATTGATTGTGGAGCACCTTTGCAAATCGCATCAGATTCGTGCAAGATGGAAACCAAAACATTAATTTTTTCTTGGAATACATTTCTTATCTTGTGTGCCATTTGCAACACAACTTTGCAGCAGGAAAGTTTTCTGATCACCTGTCCAACGAGCTGTTCGTGCAGCTCTTGTGAAACATCGTCGTTATCAGACCTTATAGATGTGCAGTGCAGAAATATCCGTCTTGAAGACTTGAAAGATTTTGAATTCGCCAACAAGATTTGCTCACTGTAAGTTCACGACATAAATTTACCGATTTGTTATTATCTTTTTTAACATCTGGGCAATTTAAGGCTGGATTGGTTTAATTCGTCTATCTGTTTGCCAGTTCACATGAACTTGTTACAATTTTACGGAAAGACGATCACTAAATCCGAACAATGTATGAATTCAGTTTGACTCAGTTGCATAGAAAAGAGCTTCTCATTTTCACTTTTCATTAATTTCATTTTCTTTAACTAATCCTTTGGTGGGTATATCAAGAATTTAACTTCGATGCAATTTCTAAAAACCCTGTTTCGAAATTTCGTCACCTTATCGTACAATCTTACTCTATAAACGCGTATTTCTATTGCCTCTCCCCCCCGCGAAAAAAGGGAAAATTCGTTTATTGCCCAAACTGCGAGAGTCAGCTGTCAAAGTTGAAAACAAAATTCCCACTAGAACCGTGTTACAAAGAAATAAAATCGGAGAAAATTACTTGAAAAAAGGAAAAGCTGCTGGCTTATCGTTTTAAT